CCACAGGAGATCATCTTGGGGGACCCAGTAAGGGACTGGTTGTTGGGTGAAAAGCCAGGCCATCTTGACCTCCCAGGTCCCACAAGTTTAGGTCAGACAAGGAGATTTGGCCTCCAGGGGGCAGTGAGGAGTCACTCACCTCCTGGTTGCTCTAAAAGCTCCAAAGCCTGGTTAGTGATGAGGAGGTTCTAGGGAGACCCTCACCCCGGCAAAAAGATTCTCACTCAGGAGAAATACTTGGGGTCACATCCTTATTGCTCCCCATCCCCCACCATCACTCCCTGTGAACCCTGGGCCTGTGTGTAGAAGAGGCAGTGACTGCTAATGCGGGGAATGAGGGAGGAACTCATGGCATACAGAAGGTGCTCAATAGATGAGGACAGAAGAAAACAAGGGGCTAGGCGCTGGTGGCTCATGCTTGTAATCCTAGCTACTTAAGAGGCTGAGATCTGAGGATTGTGGTTCAAAGCCAGCCCAGGCTGGAAAGTTTAAGAGACTTTTTTTCTTTGCCAGTCCTGGGGCTTGAACACAGGGCCTGGGCACTGTCCCTCAGCTTCTTTTTGCTCAGGGCTAGTACTCTACCACTTGAACCATGGCTCTACTTTCAGCTTTTCTGGTAGTTTATGGGAGACAAAAGTCTCACAGTTTCCTACCGGGGCTGGTTTTGAATCATGATCCTCAGATCTCAGCCTCCTGAGGAGCTAGGATTATAGGCCTGAGCACCCAGCTTCCAAGAAATTCATATCTCCAATTAATCACCCAAAAAGCTGTAAGTAGCTTAAATGGTAGAATGTTAGCTTTGATCACAAAAGCTCAGGGACAGTGCTCAAGCCCTGAGTTCAAGACCTAGAACTGGCACAAAAAAAAAAAAAAAGAGGAAAGGAAAGAGGGGGCAGGAAGCTGCATAAGCACCAGCTTTGTAGAAAAGTAAGAAGACCATGTGGGTAAAGGAGCTGTTAAATCAAAGAGAGAGAGGAGGGGGAAAAAAGGCTGATAGATGAAGGAATGAATTAGCAAATAAATGGGTTCCCAGTGACCTTGCTGTAAAAGGAGCAATGAGAACTCTAATTCCCCAGCCCATTGTGTAGAAAGAAACTTCTGGATCTGTGAATCTGGTGACCAGAAGCCTGTGATCCTCCCTTGTCCCTCTTTCCTCATCTCTCTCTTTCCAAGGCTGGGGCAGGGGTTCTGGGAAGGATGCCTATTCTCCTCCTCTTGGCTCTTCCAGGTCTAATTTCCGCCAAGCTAGACCAAGGTGCTAGGGGGTGGTAGTGAGGGAGACTATTTCAGTCAGAGACAGCCCTGCCAGGAAGCAGAGGAAGCTGTCCACTGTAAGGGGTGTGGCCGCCTGACTGAGTCCAGAGTGTGTCTGGCTTCTCTTGGCTCTAATGCATTTGGGATAACCGTGCTGCTGTTGGGACAGGAGGTCGCATGTGAGTCTTGGTGCATGTTGGGCTGCAGACCAGTGTGGGATGGGGTGGGGTGGGGGTAGCTGTTGTCAAGCTACTGTGATTCTGGCAGGCAGGCTGGAGATGGTGATGATCTAGGGGATGCCCACAGAATTGGGAGCCCGGAGGAAGGATTCCACCTAGCTAGGGGCTCAGAGGAGGAAGCAGCATGAAGGGATTTGGAACCTGATGAATACTTAAGGTGTCTGAACACAGAGGAGTTGGATGGCACTTTGTGTGGTGGTAACAGACAGGGCACCAGATCTCCACTGCCAGTGGTTGTGTGGCCATCTCTGTGTCTTAGGAAGAGAAGGGCAGGAAAGAGTAGAAAGCAGAATGGACCTGGGGTCATTCAGACCAGGCTGGATGGCTGAGCAGAGCCTTGAGCATCAGGACAGAAGCTGAGATGTTTCCTCAAGGGCAGAAGGACATGGGAAGGTTGTCCTGAGAGCCAATGTGGGCAGCATAGCTACAGCCCAAGGAAGGGCTGAGGTTTGAGCTGGTGCAGAACTTAGGGCCTACCCGTTGGTGACAAAGCCAATGCAAGCTGCTACCTTGAAGTAAAGCAGGCCCTGCAGGAGGGGGAGAGCAATCACTCTTCAGTCCTCAGAAAGTTCAGTGAATGGGGATCTGGTGCATCCTGGCCTGCCTCTCCTGGCTTGGCCCTTGGGACACAGGACAGCTCCCTTGATACCCTCTTTAGCTCCTACCTCACCAGGGAGCCAGTCTCTAGCCACCTCTAGGGCAGTGTCTAAGAAGTGTCAGGGCTTCCCAAAGCAAGGTTCATGGACACAGCATCCTTCCACCCATGCTGATCTCCTCTCAGATCCTGCCTGTCTCTCCCTGTCTGCAACTAGGGATCATTATGTCCATGTCCACCCATGGAGATCTCCCTCAGGCCAGGGGCCTTCATTCTTCCTGGAAAAGCTCCTTTCACCCAGTGGCTCGCAATAGTCTCTCCCTCAGACTAGCACATCTGTAGCTGCGTGTGCAACTGTGTATACACCCACCCCCTGCATCTACCTACTGTACTAGCAAACAGTAAGATGTATGAATGAACACGATGTATAAATGAAAGAAAGAGTGAAAGCAGAAATGAATGAAGGAACTCTTGCAGACTATACTGATTGATCTTGCCTTCCTGGCCTGCTGGGGGGCCCTCCTGCAGCTTCCAGCTTCCTTATGTGCCCACCCCATCTCCATCACACAGCTCTGACAAGGCTCAGAGGAATCCTCCATAACCAAGGTGATATTGGACATGGGGTACTACCAGAGAATCCAAACACTATCATTCTCTCCAGAATTGAGGTAAAATAATTACATTAAAATTTAAAACCAGGCACTGGTGGCTCATGCTTGTAATCCTAGCTATTCAGGAGGCTGAGTCTGAGGATGGAGGTTAGAAACCAGCTGGGCAGAAAAGTGCAGAGAAAAATGAGACTCTTATCTCTAATTAACCAGCAAAAATCTGTAAGAGGAGCTATGGCTCCGGTGGTAGAGTGCCAGTCTTGAGCTAAAAAGCCAAGCAAAAACAAGATGCCCTGAGTTCAAGCTCCAATGCTGGCACAAAATAAATAAATAAGATAAAATTTTAAGTTCAGAAGAAATGTTTGTCTCTGATGTACTGTTTTAAAATTTTTAAGATAGGTGGAGGAAGTGGCGCTGTAGCTCAGGTGGTAGAACATTTGCCTTGAACTGAAGAGCACAGGGACAGCACCCAGGCCCAGAGTTCAAGCCCCACGACCGACAAAAAAAAGCATATAAGATAGGTGGGCACTGGTGGTTCATGCCTATAATGCTAGCTACTCAGGAGGCTGAGAGCTGAGAGTCATGGTTTGAAGCCAGCCCAGGCAGAAGAGTTTGTATGACTCTGATCTCCAGTTAATCATCAAAAAATATCCAGAACTGAAGCTGTGGTTCAAATGGTAGAGTACTAGCTCTGAGAAAAAAAAAAGGCTTAGGGATGGCCCTGAATTCAAACCCCAAGACAGGCACACAAAAAATACAAATAAATTCTATAACCTTATTTAGTATTCACAGTTAAGAACAGCTAATAAGGGCTAGGGGCATGGTTCAAGTGTCTAACAAATATGAAGCCCTGGGATTCAAGTATCAGTATAAGAAAGAAAGAAAGAGAGAGAGAGAGAGAGGGAGGGAAAGAGGGAGGGAGGGAGGAAGGAAGAGAAGGAGGGAGGGAGGAAGGAAGGGAGGGAGGGAGGAGGGAAGGAGGGAGGGAGGAAGGAAGGAAGGAAGGAAGGGAGGAAGGGAGGGAGGGAGGGAGGAAGAAAGGAAGGAAGGAAGGAAGGGAGGGAGGGAGGGAGGGAGGAAGAGAGGGAAGGAGGGAGGAAGAGAGGAAGGAAGGAAGAGAGGAAGGAGGGAAGAGAGGAAGGAAGGAAGAGAGGGAAGGAGGGAGGAAGAGAGGAAGGATGGAGAGAGAAAGAAAAAGATAGAAAGAAGAAAGGAAGAAAGAAAGAAAGAAAAGAAAGAACATAATGGTACACACCTATTACTCAGACTCTGAAGTGTGAAGAGGAGGATTTTGAGTTTGAGATCAATCTAGGCTACAAGATCCTGTCTCAAAACCAACCAACAAGCAAAAGGAATACCTAACAGTTAGCACTGTGCCAGGTGCTAGCCCTCACAACAACCTTATGAGGCAGGTGCCACGTTATCCCATTTTACAGATGAGGAAACTGAGGTGTCTGGTTAAGTAATATGCCCAAGGCTACACAGGTCACACATGGGACAGAGCTGGGATTTGAATGGACCAGAGTCCATGTACTCAGCCTCAACTCTTTTCTACCCTCTGGGTGCATTTGCAGGACTTAATACTTTGTTCTAGGCCTCAGTTTCTCCCATATGTAAAATAGGGAGAAGAGAGGACTGAACTCCCTCTCTCAAAGGGGTTGCTTTATAGGTCGTTGGGTTTGAACTGTAAATTCCCTATAGTCATTACCCAGGAGTATTTAGTGGAGTCAGACACCCTCTCCCCAACATGAAACCCTCCCTAAGAGACATTTATACTGCTAGACCCCCAAACCCAGCTTGAACCAATGAAAGGTGGTATCAAGTAACAGGATACAATCACATGTCAGGCCCATGTACATTGTACTATTGATGACACAGGGCCAGAAAAGATGAGTAACTGCAGCACTCAACATAGCAGGGAATCCAATATTCCAACCCAGGCATGCTTAGCTCTGAAGCCACATTATAACCTCTACATCTCATGCCTGTGGACTAAGCATCTCCTCTGAACTAGCTTGAGGGGTTCCGGTTCTGGCTCTGCTTCTAATTCACTAATTGAGTTGACTTTCCTGCCCCTCAAGGTGTCTGGATTTCTAATTCTGCCGGGGCTTCACCCATTTGCCTTTGAGGAAGCTATTTTCTCTATGGCCACAAGGGGGGGTACTGTAACATCCATGCTTTGCTTGAATCACGTTGGTATCTTCAGGTCAATTGGAAAGAGGTTTTAGGGAGCTCTCATCTTCTCTTTCCCCTATTTTACAGATAACTAGACGGTGACCAAAAAGTAATCATGGCTTTGCAAGGCGAAATTCAGTCTGAGGAAGTTGAAGCTGCCGTCAGTGAGATCTCGGTATGTGACTGCTATACTCCTTTGGGTGAACAAATAGTTTACCCAGATCTTAGGCCTGGCTCTAAGACACAGAGAAAGCAGAAAATCTCGTACTTCTCAGGAGGTCTTTGGTCTATGCAACACAGGCCGAATCCCCCATGAATACAGGCTGCAGGGTGCCCCGGGGAAGCCCTGGGTAGTACAATTTAGTGCTGTTTGCCACATAACATTCCTGAGAGGTGAACACACTGATTGATCAGATGGGGGAAACTGAGCCTCAGAAAGGGTAAATCACTAACTCCAAGATCATATAACAGCAGAATTGCAATTCAAACCCAAGTCCATCAACCTCCACTAACAGAGGAGACATTTAATCCGGATTTTGAAGGATGACTAGAAGTTCTCTAAGAAGGTAATTTATCTTTATTTTATTTTATATTTATTTATTTACTGTCAGTTGTGAGATGAACTTGGGGCTTGGGTGCTATCCCTGAGCTCTTTTATACAAGGCTAGTGCTCTACCACTTTGAGCCCCAGCGCCCTGGAATTCTGGTGGTTAATTGGAGAAAACAGTCTCGTGGACTTTCCTGCCTGGGCTGGCTTTGAACTGTGATCCTCACATCTCAGCCTTCTGAGTAGCTAGGATTACAGGCATGAGCCACCTGTGCCTGGCCTTAATTTTTGTTTTTATTGTTATTAGAAAGGTGATGTACCAAGCGGTTACAATTAACATAGGTCAGGCATGAATATATTTCTTTCTTTCTTTCTTTCTTTTTTTTTTTGCCAGTCCTGAGGCTTGAATTCTGGGACTGGGCTCTGTTCCTGAGCTCCTTTTTGCTCAAGGCTAGCACTCTACCACTTGAGCCACATCTCCATTTCAAGCTTTTCCTAGATTAACTGGAGATAAGCGTCCCACAGACTTTCCAGTCTGGGCTGGCCTCGAACCATGATCCCCACATCTCAGCCTCCTGAGTAGCTAGGATTACAGGCATGAGCCACCAGTGCCCTGCATGTGAGTACATTAGGAAAGTAAATTATTGTATTCTATGTTTCTTTACAGTGAGGGCTATGTGGGCCACCATGGGGTAGTGGGTACAGGAAATGACAAAGTTGGTACCCAAATGGTCCCGCTAGAGAGATTAAGGCCAAAAGAGAGCGAGAAGGCCAACTGAATGTTTAGTGACCATGTCATTCACAGGGTGTGTATTGTCTTCCCAGACTCTCTGAGTACAGAAGTCCCAGTTGGGTAGCCATGGAGTGGAACAATGACACACCCCCTACAATGCCGCCCACTACTTGCGTCTATCAAGAGGACTTCAAATGGCTGCTGCTGCCACCCGTGTACTCAGTGGTGCTGGCAGCCGGCCTGCCACTGAACATCTGTGTCATCGCCCAGATCTTCGCATCCCGCAGGGCACTGACCCGCACAGCTGTGTACACCCTGAACTTGGCCCTGGCTGACCTGTTGTATGCCTGCTCCCTGCCGCTGCTCATCTACAACTACGCCCAGCGGGACCACTGGCCCTTTGGCGACCTCACCTGCCGCCTGGTGCGTTTCCTCTTCTATGCCAACCTGCACGGCAGCATCCTCTTCCTCACCTGCATCAGCTTCCAGCGCTACCTGGGCATCTGCCACCCATTGGCTCCCTGGCACAAGCATGGGGGCCGCCGTGCTGCCTGGCTGGTGTGTGGAGCCGTGTGGCTGGTGGTGACAGCCCAGTGTCTGCCCACGGCTGTATTTGCAGCCACTGGCACCCAGCGGAATCGCACAGTCTGCTATGACCTGAGTCCCCCTGCTCTGGCCACCCGCTACCTGCCGTATGGCATGGCCCTCACTGTCATTGGATTCTTGCTGCCGTTTGCAGCCCTGCTGGCCTGTTACTGTCTCCTGGCTCGCCGCCTGTGCCGCCATGATGGCCCAGCAGGGCCTGTGGCTCGAGAGAGGCGTGGCAAGGCCGCCCGGATGGCTGTGGTGGTGGCAGCTGTCTTTGTCATTAGCTTCTTGCCTTTCCATATCACCAAGACAGCCTACCTGGCTGTGCGCTCTACACCCGGCGTCTCCTGCCCAGTGTTAGAGGCCTTTGCCACTGCCTACAAAGGCACACGACCCTTCGCCAGTGCCAACAGTGTGCTGGACCCCATCCTCTTCTACTTCACCCAGCAGAAGTTCCGCCGGCGGCCTCATGAACTCCTACAGAAACTCACAGCCAAGTGGCAGCGGCAGCCACCTAGCTGAACCCACAGGCAGGACCCTAGGCAGGGGCAGCTGTGCATTTGCTATGATGGCCAGGGGACCAGAACTCCCCTCCCCAACAACCCCTCCCAGCTCCAACCAGACAGAGAATTGAAACTTAGCTGTCTTGGGCATGAAGTAAGGCCACCCCTAGACCTCTTCTTCTCCCCGACCAAGATCTCACCAGCTATTTATTGAACCCTCTCCCTGGACCAGGGTCTGTGTGATAAAGACCATCAGACCTGGGCCTGGCCCTCCAGAAGTTCCCAGTCAGCCATCAGGTTAAGAAAACTGTGGTAAGCTGCTCACAGAAATGGAGTGTGAGTGTACTGTAACAGAGAAATTGTACCTTATTGTATGGTATACTGTATTGCCTGCTTTGGAAGTCACCAAGGGAATGGATGAGAGAAGATGGGAAAGGGAAGTGAGGGCTTCCAGGAAGGAGCATTTGAGCTGCGTTTAGAGGGTTGTATATGTGCTTTCTGGTAGACAGGAATGATATCCTTATTTAGTAAACCTTAATGAAGATCTGGTTGCTCAGGCCTGGGTGTTTCCAGAACCTTAGGAGAACCAGTCCCAGCCCTGTTCCATATAGGCTCCCAACTGCTGGAGCCATCAACCCTGACAGAGTGGGATCAGGCCTGTGACAGACAGAAGCCAAGAAAGGGCAGTGTACAGAGGGATCAGGAGAAGCAGATGTTAAAGGCCAAATAGGCGATCCTCAGACAGAAGTGCTGCCTGGGTCAGTCTCCTGTGTGCCTCTGTCCTGGAGAAGATGCCTTGTAGCCCGTGTGCAAGTGAGGAAAATAGCTGCTCTTCAGTCACTCTGCAGACAAAAGCAAGGGTTGGCAAGTACACAGACATGGGAGAGGAAGGGGGAACTTTCTAGAAGAGAGGGTTCCTAGCAGGAGGAAGGCACTGAGTGTACAGAAACCCAAAGGGAAAAAGGAGCTGTGGCTTACACCTTTAACCTCAGCACACATGTCTGTCATCCCAGTGTTTGAGAAGTGGAGACAGAAGGATCTCAAATACAAGTCTAGTGTGGAATACACAACAACTTTGTATTGAAAAAGAAGATGGGGGCTAATGGCTCGGGCCTATAATCCCAACTACTCAGGAGGCTGAGACCTGGAAGATCTCAGTCTGGGCAGAAAAGTCCTAGAGACTCTGTCTCTAATCAATAAAATATTGGGCTGGAGCACTAACTGTGAGCAAGAATGCCAGGTGAAAGCTCAAGGCCCTAGTTCAAACTTCAATACCAGTGTATGCACACATGCACCAATGTCTGCATAAGAACATGCACACACACACACACACACACACACACACACACACACACACACACAAGAAGGAGGAGGAGAAAAGAAAAAGGGCAAGAGATAGGCATGGTTTTGAAGCAGTTAACACTGGAAGAGGGCTAGTGTGCAGAAAGGTACCTAGAAAAGAAGCTATAAAGACCAGAGCAGCCAATGTTAGGAACCCAGACCCCATCTCTCCTTCACCTGCCTCTTCCAAGGCCTCAGGCTTTTGCCTGAACCATTTTCTGCACCTGAGATACCCTGGCCCTCTCCTTCAGCCCTACTCTTCAGGGCCCAACTGCCCTGCTCCATCCTCAGGAAACCTTCTGGAACCCCTGCAGGAGTCACTTGAGCCCTCTGAACCCACTTGGTGCCTACCCACACTTCCTCATCACCCTGTGTTCCTCTTCTTCACCTGCCACCTCGTGGCTCTAGGAAGGAAAGACAGCTGGATGTCAACCACAGCATCAGTCCTCCCCTTTAGCTGAGCACTGGCTTCAGAAGATGGAAAGTTCACTTCAGAACTCTCTTGCATTTATGGGGTAACAGCAAAGTGTCCCAGGGCACTTTAATACAGAGTGAGAGGAACATGTCTAGCACTAGGTGGTGACTTTAGAGATAAGGCCCTTTCTATCTCCCTGTCATCTGGGCCTAGTAGTCCTGGCTCTTATGGCTTGTAGAGCAAGAAACTGTGAGCGGCTTGGGTCTCCAACCATGAAGGAGAAATAAATGTTTTGTTTTTTAAAATCCATTGGTTTGAGGGGGCCTTTGTTACCCACAGCTGAAACTAACCATTTAGTGAGGTTCTAGCCTGACCTGGTGTGCCCAGGTGAAGAACTGGGCAGTGACTTGAGTTGGGGTGGGGTCAAGGTCTAGGTCTAGGGGAGTAGCAGCTCTGCAGACACCTCTGAAGGCATCTTTAGACAAGGGGACATGGTCTGGGGGTGTAGCTTGAGGCTGAGAAGGTGGATGGGAGGACAGAAAGGAGCCAAGGATGTGGAGACAGAAGCCTGGAGGAGGTCTGTATGGAGGAAGGGGAGGAAGTGGAGTTGGCGGGCAAAAAAAGGAAAAAGGAAGTTCTGAGGAAGGTCAGTCCCAAGGCAGAATCTTCCAGGACAAAGACCTTCAAGTCTTGTCACTTGAGGACAGGGAGCCAGGGTAGTGGGGTCAAGGTTTAGTGAATGAAATAATGAGGGAGCTGGGAATGTGGCTTAGTGGTAGAGTGCTTGCCTAGCATACATGAAGCCCTGGGTTCCATTCCTCAGTACCACATAAACAGAAAAGGCCAGAAAGGGCTCTGTGACTCAAGTGGTAGAGTGCTAGCCTTGAGCAAGAGTAGCTCAGGGACAGTGCCCAGGATCTGAGTTCAAGCCCCAGGACTGGCAAAAAAGACAAGAATCAGCAAGCAGGGCCCATTTTGAAGAGATTCCCACTCCACAAGGGAACAGCCGAGGGAACTGGGTATGTCCGAGCTGCAGCAGTAAGCTCCTTCCTCTCTAACTCACTGTGTAACAGGCATTCTGTTACTCCCTTGAGATGTTACTCCATTCTGCCATGGAAAAGAATCCAGAGGCTTGGGAGTACAGCATTAATTCAGCACCTACTGAATGCCAGATATCATGGGTTCCTGGGGAGAAGATCTTATGGGATGGTGGTTATGGCTAAAAAATGATGGGTGTCAGGGGAGGTGGTGAGAACCTGACCTAGTTTGAAGGGTAGACAAGGTTCCTTAGATAAAGTCCTTGGTTCTCAGAAAGGATGGGCTTCATGCAGAGGTCTGCACTTCTTTTACCTGAAATACAAGTTAAAGCTTCTAGTCCTCTCATAGCTGACAAGGTACTGAGGATGGAAATGTTAGAGGCCTGGACCTCACTGGGCCACTTGACTGACTGGGTAGATGCATTGCTGTTTTCATTCCCCCTTCCTGGTATAGGCCTGGTTTCAAAATCTCAGCTGTCAATGTTCCTCTGTGTATTGAGCCCAATATTCCTAGAGCCTCTCAGAAGAGTTTTCTTTTCTAATCTCATCTGGGACTGTAAGGCTGGGATGGGAGGCCTCCTGAGGCCTCCTGGGACACATAGGATACCCTGACTGAACTTCCTTTTGAACCAAGGCCCAGCCTAGATCCTAGATCCTTCACCCTACCCATGTGGCTGAAGGCCTCAGCCAGGTCACCTCAGGTCCAGCCCACAAGGACTCTGGGACCCTGTGGCCTGAGTCACCACTAGTCTCCACCATTTCTGACATGGAATAAGGACCTCTGTCTCCAAAATGATCAGAAGGCAGGAGATAGCCAGGTACAGTGGGATAACCTGTGATTCCAGCAGATCACAAGTGTGAAGCTATCCTGGCTTAGACTATAGACATAGTCTAAGAAGGAGGAGGAGAAAGACGATGACAATAAATAAATAAATAAATAAATGATGGTGTGAAGGAGCTTGGAAAGGAGTATGTTTCATTTTGGGGAAAACAGACTCTTGAGTGAGATTTCCTCCCACTATACTATCAAAACATGCCCCAAAATCAAAGAAAAAGCACCTTAAGGAAAGTAAGAGTCTGACTTCAGTATTGTAAGTCAGAGAGATCAACTTGAAAGTTAGAAAAGAAACCTGATTCCACTCCTCACTTTTCAAATAAGGCATCCAAGGCCTAGAGAAGCAGAGATCTACCCATAGTCACATAGCAAGACAGGGCAGAAAGGCATAAGCTCCATCTGAGCTCTTCCTTGATTACTGACTTCCCAGTGAAAAGGAATTTACTAGATTTACTCCAAGTTTCCCTGAGGCAGCGTTAAACCATGATTGAATGAGGGCCTCACTAGAACATGTCTCAACTCAGGGCAAGGACCTTTGGCCTAAAGAGATTTCTCACAACAAGGTACTGCCCAGAGTGTAGGAGAGGACAGGAGAGGAGAGGAGAGAAGAGACTGCTCTCCTATGTGGGCAGCAAGCAGGGCCTGGGGTATTGGTGGGATTTTCCCTTCCTTATTCCACAGTCAGATGATCCCTAAGTGTCTACTGTCCTGCTCTACCCTCACCCTGACTCTATCATCCATATGGAGCCTCCCAGCCTAGTTCTGCTAGCCCTGCTAACCCTTTGGCAGTGGGGTTGGCTGGGTAAGGCTGACCTAGCACAGTGTGAGAGCTACTGTTTGAGAACCACAGAAGGTTCTAAAGGAGGTGGATGCAGGGCTGAGTGGGTAGGGAGCAGTGCAGGCTGTTTTCTATTGCCAGGGAGGTTGCACTCTGGCAAGAAAAGAGGGTGGCTGCTGGGGTCTCAAGGAGAGAAAACCTCTTTTTTTTTTTTTTGTCAGTTGTGGGGCTTGAACTCAGGGCCTGGGCACTATCCCTGATCTTCTTCATTCAAGGCTGGCACTCTACCACTTTGAGCCACAGCACCACTTCTGTTTTTTTCTGGTGGTTCACTGGAGATAAGAATCTCATGGACTTTCCTGCCTGGGCTGGCTTCAAACTTCGAACCTCAGATCTTAGGCTCCTGAGTAGCCAGAATTACAGGTGTGAGCCACCAGGGCCTGTTTCTTTCTTTCTTTCTTTGCTTTGTTGTTGTTTTAGCAGAATCTGAGGCTGGGAAAGGCTGTCTGGAGGAACATGGCATTTGAAAGCCCTGAAATCAGAGTCTGAATTACAGCAGTAGCTGCCAGTTGTTTCCTGGCTTTGGCAGTAAAGTTGCCTCTCTGATAATCTATATCTCCCAGGGTGGTTTGAAGATTAAATAAAATCAATCTAGCATTACCCATACAGCAGAGACACTCCATAAAATGTCATTCGTTTAGATGAAGAAGTCCAGCCCCCAGGTAAGTATGAAAGAAAGGTAGGTGAGGGTGGAGAGGCAGCTTTCCGGCCCGGGAGGGTGGAGAAACCGCAGGCGAGATTATGTTTGACCATGAGAAGCCAAAGTTGTTCAGGTCCTTTTGTGCGTGAGGGACAGTGTATTTTGGGAAGGTTTGAAACACAAAGGGGACAAGGAAACGACTGCAAATAAAGCCTTCTAAACTCTAGACATTGGTGGGGGGGGAGGGGGGGATGGTTGAGGCTTTGTCCAGGGCTCTGAAGCTTAGGGAGATCTGGCCAGTAGAGGGCGTAAGAGCCACGTACCCCGGAACACAAGGCGGGGGCAAGAGGGCGTAGCATTAGGAAGAGGGGAGGGAAAGGCGGGGGGGGGGCGGAGAAGCAGGTGGGGGGCGTAGCATCTGGGAAAGTGTATGGGAGGGGCATGGTCCGGAGGGGAGAGGCTTCTAGAGCTGCGCGGGTGGGTAAAGAGACCATCAAAGCCAGACCGACCTCTAGGGAGGTGGGGCCGGTGGGCGTCTGGAAGGCTTTGAGGGGCGGGGCGGGGCGCAGCGCAAAGCGCCGTAGAGGGCGGAGCAAAGGGGTGTGGCCAGAAGCTGTGAGCGCTCGGCCGGGCTGCCCCGCCCACTGCAGCCCCGCCCACTGCGGCCCCGCCACCCCCAGCACTGGGGTCCCGCCCCTTTCCCTCCGCTGGAGAGTTTCTGCGTGTACCTGAGTACCTGTGTACCAGAGTTTACGGGGCTGAGGTTGCCATGTTGGAGCCCCTCGGGCCACAGAGTCTTGAACCCCGATGCGTACGCTCCCGTTTGCGGAGCTGACCGCGCTCGGAGCTAGCGTGTGTCTCAGCCAGTTTCTAAGGGGCAGCTAGGCCGACTGAGCTCCCGGGGGACTTCCGAGGGTCGTGGCCGTCTGGAAGTGTTCAAGCATCTCATTTTTCCTTCGGGCTCCTCCCTGATTCCCTCCCCCCCACCCCCCACTGCGTTCCCAGCCTCGCGCGCTCCCGGTGCCCACCCCCTCTTTTGGGCGCGAGGCCCCGCCCCCCGCCCCCTTTCCTCAGCCACAAAGTTTATTCGCAACAAAAGGGAGCGAGGAGCTCGCAGCGCCGGGGAGGGAGCGGGAGCTGGAGTGGGAGCGCTGGGAGAGGCAGGCCGGCCGCGGGAGGACGGGTGCAGAGCTGAGGAGCAGGGCTCTGGGATTCAACCGCCCCCCCCC